AAGCTTCCCACTGTTTATACTGGCACCTAATATTAGTCCATACTTAGACCTCATGTCCTTCATGGCTTCCCCCCCACCCCAGTCTAGGAACTAACCAAGAATCTGGCATTGAATTTTGTCATATATCTTTTTCTTTTAATCTACAACAGTTCCTTGGCTTTGTATTTCATGATCCCCCCCCCCCAGGGATATTTTCCTTTTCTTAATAAATTATAAATACTTTTTCCATTTATTAAAGCTCATCAAAGAACTCCCAGTATTATTTAGTCTTCTCCATTCTTCAGTAATTACGTATTCACACAGCAGGGCACCATTTCATATCTTAAATCCAAGGGCTCTCATACACTCCTTGTGGGCCTCAATTAGGAGTCCACAGTGTTCTTCTCCTTTCTTGATGATACACGCATCGCGTGCCTTCTTGGTCTCTGGGCAGGCGCAGCAGGGCTTCAGGGGCTTCTTTTCCTGAGACTCGGACGGGGCGGTGCTTGCAGCCGCCACACTCAACATCTTTAGCGCCAAAAGTAGCTACCAGCGCCAACACTCTAAACTCTAGCAGCCTCAGCAAGTGCCCTGTATTTCATGATGTTGACATTTTTGAATATCCACATCATCTTACACCTGCAGGTCTCTGTTCTGAGCTGAGCAGCATTTTGGTCTGGCGTCCCCAGCGGTGGCCCTGGGCAGCTACCGCGGTACCTGGAATTGAAATGTTACTTTGAAGCGCCACCCAGCGGTCTTCTGTGGGAACGTTTTTTTCTCCCAGTTGCAGTTGATCCTCCCGCACCTCCCTCGCCCCTCCTATATCCTGCTAAAGCAAGCTCAGGGGTGTTGAAGTTGATGGCAGCACCCCACTCGGCAGGCAGTGCCTAGGCTGGGCTGAACCCCCAATTGCAGAGCCACAGTGTGGGGACAGTTCTTCCTTCCTGGTTTATACCTGTAAATCCCTGCTCTGCAGGGCTCACTGCCCATGGAGGAGACTCTGTCTCTGTGGTGCATCCCTGTCTCTCTCTGCACCTTAGTTCAATCCCAGCCCCACCACAACTACCTGTGTTGAACTTGAGTGAGTTTTTTAACCTCTGCATGTTTTGGTTTTCCCATCTGTAAAATGGGGACACTAATATCTATACCTCACCCTGCACAGAAGGTGCTATGTGAACAGGAGTCATTTTGTGGTCACACATGACCATCTGTTGTTAAGGACCCTGCAGCCTCCATGAAGCTGGGTAGAATGTATGGCTGTGACACTATGCATCCCTCTAGGAGGCTCTGATTTCTCAGTCACCTCACCCCCAGCCCTGCTGACCCTGATCCCTTCCCCTCCCAGGATTATGTCCCTGTGGAGGGAGAGCTGCTCTTCCACCCTGGGGAGACCTGGAAAGAGCTGCAGGTGAAGCTCCTGGAGCTGCAGGAAGTAGACTCTCTCCTGCGGGGCCGCCAGACTCGCCGCTTCAACATCCAACTCAGCAACCCCAAGTTCGGGGCCCGCCTGGGCCAGCCCCACTTAGCTACCATCATCATTGGGGACCGGGATGAAGGTGGGTAGTGCCTGGGGTCAGTGTAAGTAGTGGGGGGGGTCTCTCAACTAGGGCTGCCAGAGTTAGCAAATACAAACATGCCCACCCAGTTAAAGCCAAATTTCAGGACAGGTGCAATGGCTCAGGCTTGTAATCCCAGCGCTTTGGGAGGCTGAGACAGGAGGATCAAAAATTAGCTGGTCATGGTGGCATATACCTTTAGTTGCAGCTACTCAGGAGGCTTGAAGCAGGAAAACCACCTGAGCCCATGAGTTGCAGGTTGCAGTGAGCTATGAAGACGCCACTGCCTTCATGTCCAGGCAACAAAGCAAGATGTTATCTCAAAAAAAAAAATCTTAATTTTACATAAACAACAGACATATCTGTGGTACAGGTATGTCCCATGTGATATTTGGGACATACTTATCCTAAAGAAAAGTGTATGCTGGCTCGACACCTGTAGCTCAGAGGCTAGGGTGCCAGCCACATACACCTGGAGGGTCTGAATCCAGCCCAGGCCTGCCAAACAACAACTACAACAAAAAAAATATAGCCAGGCATTTTGGTGGGCACCTGTTGTCCCAGCTACTGGGAAGGCTGAGGCAAGAGAATTGCTTAAGCCCAAGAGTTTGAGGTTGCTGTGAGCTGTGACACCATGGCACTCTACCCAGGGCGACAGCTTGAGACTCTGTCTCAAAAAAAAAAAAGAAAAACCAACAAAAAAGCTTATCTGAATCCACGTGTAACTAGGCACCCTGCACTTTGTCTGGCAGCCCCACTCTCAACAAGACAGGCAAAGATCATGTGGCCACAGGGCAGGAACCCCCACATTAGACCCTAGCCCTTTGCTTTCAACCCAAAAGGCAGACGTTTGGCCCAGTTATTTCTTATTAGTCCTTAGCCTCTGGTGTGGTGGGTCTGTGATCCTGAGAGGAAGGAGATATTTAGGGGACAGAATGGAAACAGGGTGTGAAGCAAATATTCTTTTAGGGACCAAGACAGGAGGAGCCCTCTTCCTCCTCTTTCCCCAGAGACCTTCCTGGGCCCTCTGCCAAACTTAGCATGATTCCCTCTCTGGCACCAGCAGGGGCACCAGTCCCCATTAGACACTGGAAGGCAGGTCTCAGTTGAATGCTCTGGGTGAGGGAGCCTGGGAGATTAATAGGGTCTATGGCACCCCCCCAGTGGCGAGGGGGGTGTCTGAGCCACCTGACCTGATCCCCTAGATGAACTGGATCAGAACTTCGTGAGCCAGACATCATCATCACCCTCACCCCTCCACGGTAACCTGGGAGCCCCACAGAACCCCAATGCCAAGGCTGCTGGGTCCCGGAAGATCCATTTCAACTGGTTGCCCCCTTCTGGCAAGCCGATGGGGTACAGGGTAAGGTTGGGAGTGCTGGATCATGACAGGAAAATAGGGAGAGGTGGGTTACCATGGCATGAGTGGGCAGAGCTTGAGTTTCTCAGACATTTTGCCTCCACCTCCCCTGCACAGGAGACACCTGCTATGTGAACTGGCAGGTCATCTGTGCAAAGGGGACAGTGAGGGTGGGGCTCAATGGAGGGACAAGCCGCTTTGGTGCTTGCTGCTCCCCACTGACCAGAACCTCTGGGAGCAGGTGAAGTACTGGATCCAAGGTGATTCTGAATCAGACGCCCACCTGCTCGACAGCAAGGTGCCCTCGGTGGAGCTCACCAACCTGTACCCATACTGTGACTATGAGATGAAGGTGTGTGCCTATGGGGCCCAAGGCGAAGGGCCCTACAGCTCCCTGGTATCCTGCCGTACCCACCAGGAAGGTGAGGCCTTGCCACGTCCATCCCCCCAACGCTGGTCCTCTGGTCACTCTGATGCCACTGCCCAGTGCTCCCTCTATCCTTCCCTCACCACTGACAGTGCTCTTCCTGTCCCACCTCCAGTCCCCAGTGAGCCGGGGCGGCTAGCCTTCAATGTCGTCTCCTCCACGGTGACCCAGGTGAGCTGGGCCGAGCCAGCTGAGACCAATGGCGAGATCACAGCCTATGAGGTCTGCTATGGTCTGGTCAACGAGGACAACCGTAAGAACTGGACCCATCCTTCCAGCCCCCAAGGACAGCAGCCAGGGAAGGGGAGAGGACAAAAGAACTGGAGGGGGGTTGGGACTCTGGGTCACTCCTGGACCTGCTGTGCAGGGCACTTGAGGCCCATTGTCCTGATCAGCAGCCTGAGGTATCCTTAAGTTTTGGGTCAGATTTGTGCTGGGCTGCTTTCTAAGCCCAGAAGCCCACAGGATGGGTGGGATTATCTACCTGCAAGGGGTGAAAGGCTGGGGGGAAATCAGGGTGGCTCATTTTATATTGTTCTCTTAGGACCAGAACAGATAGAGTTACCAGATTTAGCAAATACAGGATGCAGGCTGGGTGTGATGGCTCAGCCTATAATCCTAGCACTTTGGGAGGCCAAGGTAGGAGGACTGCTTGAAGCCAAAAGATGATGTCCAGCTAGGGCAACATAGCAAGATATTGCCCCCCACCCTGTCTCTACAAAACACTAAAAACAAAATTAGCCGTGTGTGGTGGCATGCACCTGTAGTCTCAGCTACTCAGGAGGCTAAGGCAGGAGGATCACTTAAGCCTAGAAGTCTGAAGCCACAGTGAACTATGATCTGGCCACTGCACATTAGAGTGGGTAACAGAGTGAGATTCTGTCTCAAATAAACTAAAACAAAACTAAAAACACAACAGGATGCCCCAAACATCTGCCCTGAGCACCTAGCAGAACTATTATTTCTTCCCAGTTCTGGAAGGGAGGCAAGTGTGGGTGACCCCTGCCAACTGCTGAAATGAGAACCAGTCCCACCTCTCACCCAGTGCAGGGACCTCTGCACATCCTCACCTGTTTGGTCGAGTGATGGGGAGGTCACCACTTGCAAAAGACCAGTGGAGCAAGTGTGCCATGGTGACCCTATATCGAGGACTGTTCTCTGGAGGGAGGAGCTGCCTTGTCCCTCTTTACTAACTAGACCAATCTAACACCTGAGTCACACACCCTTGGCTTGTCTTGAGCTTACAACCCTTAGTGCACCTGTCAACCATAGCTGGGTGGTTTCCTCTGAACTGGCCTTAAGTCCAGGAATGAGTATCCCAGTAAAAGGTCACCCCTGCTGGTTTCAGCCCCTGGCTGCAGCCTGCTGAGTCTCAGCTGTGTCATGAAATGTGCTGGGCAGCCTTCCCAGCTAAAGGCATGTGCATGTGGGTGCCCACTCCTCTTCCTTTCACCTCTCTAGGTGACAGAGACCCAAGGAGGTGGGCCAAGGGCTGTTCAAGACATTCCTCCAAGCTAATGAGCCTCTGTCAACCATGCTTGAGCACAGTTGTGTGTTGGAGGTGAACATTAAGCTTCTCAGTTGTCATTTTCCAGGCGACATTCCAGTGTTCATTATTTTGTGCCTTCTCTGGTTTCCCAGTCTTCCAACGTGGTGGGCCTCGTTGCACTGTATGTGGGCCTAGGCACCATAATCCACTTTTTTTTTTGAGACAGAGTCTCTCTCTATTGCCTAGGTTGGAGTACCATGGCATCAACCTAGCTCACAGCAACCTCAAACTCGTGGGTTCAGGTGATCCTCCTGCCTCAGCCTCCCAGGTAGCTATGACTATAGGTGCTCACCACACCATCTGGTCAATTTTTCTATTTTTTACTTTTTTTTTTTTTTTTTTTCAGG